GTAATGTAGCAGCATTTTACGCGAATATGTATATAATTGTGTTACACATTAAAACGATATCGCTTATTATTACGTAATTGATGACAGTTACATCAGTCCAGTTTGGCATCTTGGAATTCAATTTTGTGTGATTCATAAGCCATCAATTCACGGAGTACGATGTAGGTGACCAGTACGCATTTGGCAACTTTCCCCTATACATATTACATTCTCACTTCGTAGTCACGCGACCAGTCTAGCTAACGATCACTGGCAGCAATGGACATTATCAACTCCCTTTACCATCGGCATAGATCGTCGTTGAACACATACTCCTATCCTGTCGCGGATTTTTTGTTCGAAGAAAGTCTTGTTCGGGTTCGCGACGTGTCGCGAACTCTTCCGAGATAACCTTGACTCATATTTTTGGTAATCGATCAGTCGAAGGTAGAGTTTTGTGAATATTTCATTGTGTGTTACGAGGTTCTCCCTATAAACTTGGTAGATAATGGATTGTACGAAACTAAGATTCTGTACAAATAATTATAAGTGCGTCCGCCGTAAAATATTGGTGTGATATTCTATGCTTATGAAATATCAAATTATTAAATTAAAATGTTATAATGTAAAATTGAAATATATGAAATTTTATAATATGGAATTGAAATGTGAAAAAAAATTTAATAATATAAAATTTAAATACATGAAGTATAAAATTATGTTTATGACAAATTTTACGATATAAAATGAAAATATATAAAATACAAAATTATGTTTATGAAAAATTTTTATGTAATGATGTTTTTCTACTGTAAACAACTCGAGGATTAACTTGTTATAATCAGCTTAATTATTTAAAACCGACTGAATTTTCATAGTGTAATAAACCTATTTAATAGAGTGTATGTAAAAATAGTTCTTGTAATGTAGAAGTGTCATTTAATAATACATTCTATGTTTGTTTTATATTATTCTTGCATTTTTAACCTAATCCGTTCCATAATTTTATGTTGTAGTACATTGTTGAGAGATTATGGATACTAATCAGTAGACTGCGGATTTTTATGCAAATTCCTATTTTCATATGTCATTACA